AGAGAGAGAGACACACACACACACCAGATTGATACACATGGAAGGCTCCTACTCGAAGCTCTCATGAAAGTGTTGAAGATCTGCATCCAAGCGGCTCAGCGGGATCTTCGCCACGGGCACGAAGAGACCCGAAAAAAGCATCTGCGGGATCAGCGTCAAAGGTGCCAGCTGAATCGCTTTCCTGAGCTCCCAACACCAGGGCTTGCTTTAAGAAAGTCGTTCCCTGGGGTCTGTTGTTGCCATAAGGCTCTGTAGCTATTATGCTCTATTTTGTGAGGCTTTCGATAACCAGAAACGCTGGTCTAAAGCCCATATACTCTATATTGTGTCTCAGCTGCTCCGGCCGCAAATGTGATTAAAGTCTCGAGCTTGAATGACCCTGGTCGTCGTAGCATCTGCTATCTCACAGATATAGCAACTCAAATACGGATTGCTGGAAGGACCGAGAAGCTGACGCAAAACTCAAGAACGAAACATGAAGTCCAAGATTCAAGTCCCATGCTCTAAACTCGAAAACCCGAAAAATTGCAGCCACACATGCTAGAAACTCAACTACTAACGGAAGATTTCGTCCCGGCGGCTGCGCGGTGGACACGCCACAGCCCACAAGCAGTGCCAGGGAGGAGGAGGCGACGCCCAGCCCCCTCATAGGACACATCATGACGCACGATCAACAACCAGGCGGGAATCTGAGGCTGACCATGCTTGTCATAAGACAGCTGCTGTTGATGATGCTAGTAATGATGATGCCGGCGACTTTGCGAGGCTGCTGTAGTAGTGTTCGTGCGACTGCTGTCTGTGTTGCTGCCATTACTCTTGGTATGCTTGCCTGGTTGCTGTATGCATGTATCTTCATTGAGGTGCTGATGGTCGATCTCGCATTCGCGCACAGGAGTCGATAGTCAGAAGCACGGAAGGACACGGAAGGACACATGAACACTGTCCAGGTCTGCAGAAGTTGTCGGCCAAGTGACCACGACACGAGCACGAGCAGCAGAACACTGCCATGCAGCCCCATCCACCAGTAAGTGACAAGGAAGGTGACCTGGAACCAGTTCTAAGCAAAGTTAGCTTTAGTTCTAGAACACCGGGAAAACAAATGCAAGCATTCCCTAGAAACACAGCTCGATGACTATAGTTGCCTCATCTACAAGGTTCCCGACGCATGACCTACAACCCTCTCGCTTCCCAGGTGCACGATAGGACCAGGAAGAAGTTTCAAAAACTGGGTTTTCGGATGATACGAATGTGAACGATGAGACTGCAGTTTGAGGATTTGCGGTTTGAGACTTTAGCATTAAAGCTCATGGTTTTTTTCAGGGTCGTGGCATTACTGGCTTGAAGATCTAGGGGATCGGGCCTCAGGGGGGAATTGCGCGGTCAATGCACCTCTGGAATTCCTGCATTTATGGCGCCACACATCTCTTACCAAGACCCCTTACAGACCCTCGCGGATTGCCTGAAGGCTTTGGCAGAGAAAGGCATTGCGGAACGTGTAACTGCAGTCTGGCCACTCCCCAAAACCCTTCATAGGTAAGAAAAGCTGGAGATTCAGAACAGATTCCTCCTCCCACATGCCGAGCAGCAATCTGAGAGAGTAAGACCACAGGCATCTCCACGATGGTCTTGCTGATGAAGTATGGCACCACGCCGTACCTGACTGGTGGGTTCTGAACCCTACACAGCCTAAACTGCCCTGAAGGCCCAACTCATGAAGCCGTCTATGTCGTAGACTCTGAAGCCAGATTCTAATGTAACTCTACACAACGACCTCTCCTTCTCAGAGCAAAATCTAGACCAAAGTCTGCAGTTCAGTCGAAGGCGAACAGCACGGCACCCTCAACTCAGATCCGAGATGTGCGCAAGGGTGAGGAGGAGGTTTGGACTGAAGACCCCCATCGGTGCTTCCCAGTGCAATGCACAGGGTGTTGCAGTCTATGGCTTCAAACCATTCAAGTGGGGAGCTGCGGTCTAAGGCTTTGGCTTGAAGGTTCTGGTCTCTTGGGTTTAAGGATTCGGGCTTGCTGACACTTCCAGGTATAGGACCTGAACCACACCTGCTCATGCAGCACAGAGACTGGTGAGCCGCGTACTCCTTGGTTCAGTCTGTCAAACAACTGGGCAACTTCCATGCATGCTTTGCACTGAACCAAGCTGGATTGAGATGAAACTGGTGCAGGCACACCAGCTCAGACCCAGGCACCCAGGCCCCGACAATTGAACCCTAAATACCAAGACTAGCTCTAATGTCGAAATTAATCCTATATGGATAGTATAACCACCATGACCATGTTCATGATCATCACCATCCCACATTCTCATCCTCATGATGATGACGATGATGACGATGATGACAATGATGCTCGTCATCATCCCTAGGCCGTGTTGCGGTCCCAGGCACTCTGAGGAAGACGGGTCTCTCCTGCGGGAACTGCAGCAAGACGGGCTGCGCAGCTCCCATCATGGCCCTGTGCAAGCAAAAATCCCAGCGAAGGGCTTTGGGCTGAGCTACCGTGCGGTATAACAATAGAAAATGTTCCGGCCGTTCTACAGCGCCATGCAAGCCCAACAGGTTGTAACCTACTACTTTATTCGGCTTAGCTTACAAACCAATCTCTAAACTTAAAACACTACACAAGCCTAATCGTACACCCAAAATCCTGCTGCTTGGACCTCATTCACTCAAGTCTCATTTCAGCAAACTCTGGACTTTGCTATTCAATTGATTCCATGATTGCAGAGGTGTTACAACTATTGCCATTCTGACTACTCCTGTTATTGAAAGGCGGGCTGCATGATGCTAAGCGAAACGATCGTGCCGAAGTGGGCTTGGAAGTCCTCAGCAAAAATCGTCGTGGTGGCTGGGTTGCAAAGTTCAGAACCAGGTGGGGGTCCAGAGTGCAGCAAGTTAGGGATGCTCAGAATTTTTCGGAATCTGAGAGTACACGTACAAACCACTCAGCAACCTTGCCGGGCTTAGGGGCTTCTGGCCCATGATCTTTGCGCCTCATGGCCTGAAGATAAAGTGCACAGCTGCTAGATGTGACGCCGGTAATTGGGCTGGCGTAGTTTTGGGGAAAACAGCTAGCATCTAGGACTTACAACCCCCTATAATCGATGAGCGTGTAGCCACCTGTAGGCTGCTTCGGGTTTTGGCTGAACTCGCATGGGCTCAGGCGGAAGGCAACACAGCTAGGCTTCAACATGGGATAAGCTAGACTCCATCACGCAATGGTAGCGCCCACTTGTGGTTTCTGAGCGCCTGAGCTGTAAGCCCTCGGCCTCTTAAACCTTGGTGAGCTTCTCAACGGGCCCCAAATCCGCCCCCACCCAACCTCCCCCCCGGCATGCTGGTTCTCGTATGCCGTACCTTTCTGCATTACACAAGTATACAAAGAAATGCACGCAAACCATGTACGTTGCGCCTTCATGCAGACACAAAGGCTACAAACAGGAATGCGATAGTCAAACGCCGAACCTTGTGATTCGTCTTCCGCTGACTATTGCTATTTCCGTCAATGGGAAGCTAAATGTAAGGTCTTGGCCTCTCAGACGAGCTGCAGATTGGCAGCCAGCATAGCTGAAGTTGTTTGGTACGCAGTTCTTCTCTGTGGAGTGGCTGTTGTCCTCAGTTGATCAAACTTTTAAAGCTTACTCCTACAACCCCGAAGCCATGAACCTTGAGACACTATCATCATTTGAATCAACATCTTACAGCAGTAGTTGCTGTAAACCTCTGGTCGATGATCATTGCTTCTTGTTCCGCGGGTGGCAACAGAATACTCTCATCATCCTGCTTGTAACCTACAGCTCCTAATGATTGAAACCGGGTTTTGCGGGGGCCTGAAGGCAAGGCCCTCTCAGCGAAAAGGGCCTTTAATGTTAGGGGCTCTGAATTTTTGTGCAGCCTGCGATTATGTTGAATGCATCCTCAAGTTCAGGCTTGGATGTTAGCTGGTTCACATAACTATCTGTTTGCTTCTGTGTGCCAGGCTTGCAGGTGCGCCGGCTAATTACGAGGGTTTAGAGTCTTCTGCAGCATGCGGCAGACGTCATGCAGGCACAACCTAAGAGCCCAGTGGCACCCTGCGCGGCGCTGCCGGAAAACAGCCAGCCATACCTGGACGAACCCCCAACGGCCTCCCGAGGCCCTCAGCCCTGGAGCATCCCCAGTGCGGGCAACCCCAGAGAACCTGCAACTACCCATAGGCCCCTAAGCAGTTCCTTTTTGGGATTACCTTATGGGATTCTAAATGTATACCATAAAAAGGAACTACTTAGGGGCCTATGGGTATGTCTAAGATTCGAAAACGCCACCCTCTGGCCGACAACCAAACCTAGACGCAACCTGAACCCCAAATCCACCCCTGCACCTGACTTCTTTATCCCCTCATACCCAGACCCAACAACCCAGCAAGCCCAGAAGCAAAGTATGTCCTGTGCCGGAAACTGTGAAAAGAAGAAAAAATCAAGGGACAACACTGGTAGTACTTATAAACTGCTCAGAAGGATCAGGAAGCTTAGCCCACAGCCTGCATGTTTGTACAAGCTTGATAACCCCGCGTGCGCTAGTTGCACCAGATCCGAAAAGCTGGACGCTCAACCTACACTCAATGGCAATGATTCTCCTTTGCTTCTCCCTCAGCCTCTTAGCTCCTTAGACACTAAAAGCGGCTTGACTGCAGTTTAGGACGCGTAGAGTTGCGAATCAGGTCTAGCTATCAAGACGCCCAGCTGCTCCGGAATGGTGTGTGCTTCCCCTGGCCTTGTGAGCCCTTGTGGTGGGAGCCGCAATATGCGACTTCATCCGAGAATACTAACTGAAGCCTAATGGGCAGTCATAGGTAGGGTCTTAAGATACCATAAATTTTCAGGAGATTGGGATCGAAGTTACAGCATAATTTCCTCAAACTCTCGGCTTACAACGAGTTGTGCTTTTGGTAGAGCGCGCAATGCCCGACCAACTCGGACCCAGGTACATACAGGCCAAGAACAGCGACATCCCCAGGCGCGCGAAGAGGACGCCTTTATTCCTGCGAAGCGGCGAAGCTGCTTCAGGCATCTTCCCAGAGACTCCAAAACCCTTTAATTAAGGAATATATACCTTAAATCATATTAGGGTTTCTATTATAGTTTAGGGTATATTCCTAAATTAAGGAGTTTTGGAGTCTCTGGGTTGATCTCAGGCATCGGGGTTAGTCCATGCAACAAGGCGGGAGATTGATTCAGGGGAGATTAAGGCCGGCGCCTGGACTTGAAGGCTTTTTATAATGGTACTGCGCTCCACGTGGTGCACGGTAAAAGTGTGTGTGTTCCAGTCCTGTTGCTGTAACAGCTGAGCCTTTCGGATTTCTGTGTCCCATGAGTAGGGCCTGGAGGTTTCCATGCCTACTCGAAGAGGTCCTCAGGCAGTTCGGGCTGAGCCTTGAGATTCGTTCAGGTACTTCTGAAATCAAGCCCTGGGGCTCCAGACACCTAAATAGTGGGTTACTAACCATATATTGTGTACCCCAGTAACCTACTATTTAGGTAACTGGAGCCCGAGGGAAAATTAAATGACGAGCCGGCGCCAAGACGAGACCTGTTCGGCTTTCGCAGGCTTCGGCTTTCAGGAAGTTCCCGCAGCCTACACCCCGAAACAGTGAACCCTGATGCACTAAATTTACACCCTTATATTAAAGCCCGAACTAAGCCCGAAACCCAGAGCTTCAAATTGCCCTGTTAAGCCCTGGCTTCAAAACCCCAAAACAGTGAAGAAAGGCCGCCTTCAATACACTAATAATAATAATAATAACAATAATAATAACAATAATACTCAAAAATAATAATAATAATAATCATAATAATTCAAGAATAATAATAACAATAACAATAATACTAAATAATAGGACTAATAGTAATAATAATACACCCGATCCGTCCTGATAGTCCCGCGAGTTTCTCGGACCAGGAGCCTGGGGCCGAGGCGTGGCTTTCTTGGGGGGCCCTTCCCTTCTGGTGTTTAGGGCTTTGGGGTTTTTAGGGGTTTAGGGGTTTAGGGTTTCGGGGTTTAGGGGTGTAGGGGTTTAGGGTTTAGGGTTTAGGGCCTTTCTGGAGCTTTGGAGAGAGTCTTTGGGTTGGCGGTTCCGGGGCTTTGGGGCTTCAGAAGCGGGGGTCTCCGTTTTTTCTGCACTTCAGAACTCCTCAGCTTCACCAAGAGGCCCGCCTCTTCCGAATCTTAGTCATTGGGAGAGATGGGGAGAGAGAGTCATGGGGAGAGAGATGGGGAGAGAGAGGAGCCCTGAGAGATGGGTCCGGGTCGCATGGCCAGCTGCTGGCAGAAGTTGGCGCCCGTCTGCTCCGGCAAGACACCTGAACCCCAAGCGAGAGTTTCAAACAGCAAGGGACGCTAATATACCCAGGAGAATCTTTAGTATGAGGACCCCTAAATCAGGTACCACGACATTTCTGATCCTCAAACACAACTAGAACTACCAGGAGAACAAAGACGATGAACCCAAAACCCTGCACTCTCAACCTCGTCTTACTCGCTTCTCCCCATAACACACTTAAAGTACGCCCTTGTCAGAACCCTCCTTGTACCCTCAAATAGGGGTATATGATCCCTTTTAAGGGGTACGTAGGGTCTAATAGAGGGTAGATGGAGTGTCTAGGTAGAACCCTAAACCCTAAACCCTAATTTCTTGTCGCCCCCGGAGTGGCTGAGCTCCGAGCTGGCTGGGCGAGCAGAGCCCTGGCTGCGGAAATTCGTGATCTGATCGAGCATCTTCTTGAAGGCGCCTTAGGCGCGGCTCGTTTATCATGGCTTAGGGGCCGAGTACCTTGGCCCAGAAAGGGTTCAGCTTTTGAATTATAATGGAGGTATATAAGCCCCAAAAGGGTAAAGGTTACCTACTCAGCCCCTAAGATGGGCTTTTTTGTAAGGCACGGGCTGGTTAAGGATCGTTTTATGGTCGCATACGGGTCTGGTCGGACGTTGTGGGACTTTGCAGCCGTCTTTCGGCTACCTTTGGTTGTATTCATGTGTTTGCAGGAGGGTAGTAGGGTTTCATCCATGCGGTTCTGGATCTTCGTGATTCCTAGCTTTGGTGGCTTCAGCGTTCCGGGTGCTGAGCTTCGAAGGTCCTAAAGCACTGAACACTACTCCCGAAACTCCAACCCCCAAAGCTCAGAATGGGCTTTGGGGTTCCTGGTTCTCGAAAACAACGAAAACAGCACATGCAAATCCGGCTTTCAATCCAACTCAGCTACTAACCCTGCTACCGATCCCCAGCCAGCCAAATTGAACCCAGCTGCCCGAGTCCAACCAAGCGGTTTTGATGGTCTGCAGCTTCTCTGGCATCTCCTTCTGCAGCAGGAACATCACCTCACCACACTTCGGAGTCGCTTTGGAGTTTCTAGGAAGCCCAGGAAATATAATTCTTTCAATCGTCGCTTCAAACCCAGTCCTAAATGAACACTAAAATCCGTGTGCCGTTGCGTGCCCATCTGGGAATGTTGACAGCAGTGTTTCTGCAATGCGCCTGCCCGCGATTCGCTCAGAATGGGCATCTAGAATGAGGAGATCCTCTGGAGAGAACCCCCTTTAGTCAAGTGGCGTGGTCGGCGGGGTTGAAATTCGACGGGCATGGATAGCCCAACACGTCGAAGTGCGTGGCGATGTGCTCCGCGGGGCCATGGTAGGTGACTTCCTGGCGAAATAGAAACCATAAGCCCAACTTCGACAGGGGTCGAGATTGGAGTCGGGCTCTCTGCATGGCTCCACAGTTTGAAGCCCATAATATCAAAATCCTGGACCAGAAAACCAAAAAACCCACAACAAAAAAGGAGTCGGTGCCCAAAAGTAGGGCCAGACTAGTCTGCAAGGCCGGAGCCAAGACAAATTCTGCCGACAAAGCCAATATTATAGAATAGGACTTTGGGGGACATTATGGTATACTAGCTAGCCATGACTGATACCGGTATATTCTTCCAGTATAGTTTTATGAAGGAACCCAGATAAATAATGTTGGTAATATATTCATCCACGTGACACCACCGTGGAGGATGATCACCTTAGCAGAGAGAAGAGGGGGTTGGGGGGTGGTGATTCGAAACCGATGCAGGCCCGCAACAGCTCGGATTCAGCGCCTTTTCGGCACATGGTTTAGGGTCTTTGGGGTACTCTCGATGAACAGCATGCAGTATCGAGGAGGCGCCAGGTACCGGTGCACTTTTATTGCAGCTGGGTTTGTTTCGGTTTGTTACCATCATGCAATCAGGCTGCCCACCCACGTCATCGCCGCATCAGTGCTGCCCTATCCAGACTTCTGACGCTTGATATGCGAGAAAGTCGACTACTATCTGCTACCTTATACTATGCCCGAAAGAAAACTCCAGGTGCAGCTGAACCTGTCCGCGTTTAAGGTGGCTCTGGCGATTCGTGCTGGAATTACGCGGTCCAACTCGCCAGCCAAAGTCATCTTCCCAATTTATCTTGTCCAATCTCTGCACACCAAAAAGCCCAAAACCTTCATTCAAGACCCAACCGAGCTCCGGGCGTCGTCGAACTTCGCGAAGATCTCGGAGCTGGGCTGGTGAACCGTGCAGAGAACCGGGACGTTCGCCTCAGCGAGCTCCTGGGCAGCAGACTGAAATGTACATGTTGAGCTCTGGGTGTGAGGCTTTCCGGCATCAGCTGTCGGGGCCTTCTTTGAGCAGACACGAATTCAATATGATTATGCCAAACAGTTTCAAGTCCTTGCACAGCCTATGGCAAACTGCCCCAGGCTTCCTGACGCGATTTGTGTTCAATACTATATACACTGTCACTTGCCAGCTCCGCCCTCCGCTTCGCGGTTGGTCATCACATCGTTACGCACAAGGGATCCAAACGTGCCAAGATTGTAACGCTGCCAACGCCTTTGGCACACGGCTGCTGCAGGGTTCCAGAGACTCCGGCAAACATCTTGAATGCGTTGGTCGGAAGAGCTGGGCAATCAATCAAGCAGCCGGATGATCAGTCTGCGAAAAACATCCATGCATCCGCGCACGCGCTCGCTCACGAACTGAGCATGGGACAGCAGAGCAGGCCACTTGACGTGGTTTGGCTAGACTCTAGACGGTCGCCGTGCGGTGTCGAGTACTACATTCCGCCACTGCTCTCCAGGGAGCTGTTCCTCATCAGCGAATTGGAAACGCCAGGAAGTGCTGCTGTCAAGGCCCAGGCAAGTTCGCAACAGTTTATTCCTGCCAACCCCTGTGTGCCGCGTTGCGGCTGCGATGGAACCGAAATAGAGCCAACATCGCTCGGAAGAGTCGCCTGCGACGAAAAGTGCATACACTGCCCTGCCAGACTTTGCCTTGCGCACTTCTCGGGCGGCTCCTTGCCAAGAAAGCCTCACATTCTGCGATGGAGTGACATACTCTAGATTTTGCACGCGGTTGTTTCCGCGATCAAAGTCCTTGTGATGGACCTGCATACCTGGATCTGGAGGAGGACCAAGAAACGATGATGCAACCACACGGTGGACATAATATGACCTGCCTGCTCTCTTGACAATGAAGTAGCCACTTTTTTGGTAAGTGCCACGGCTGACATGATCGTAAGGGGACTTGGCTCCGGAAATCCTACCGTGGTTACTGACCATCAGGTTTGGAATCATACTGCACTCTCCTGGGCATCGTGCGGGCTGCCAGACTTCGGCTGATAGGGGTGTGTTTCGTTCCCCAGGAGCTGCTTGGAACTCGTACCAAACTCCATTTCCACAGGACTTCTTAATCAAGCCGCGACAACAAAGCGAGACACTGCCCTGCGGGACGCCTAGCTTCCTTTCGGCTTCCCTCTGCGATGCACAGAGCCTCCAAGCATGTTCCCCACAGGGCCGCCACCAGACGGCTTTCCTAAGCTTGACATCTCCTGGCTGCCGATTCAAGTTGGTTGCCCAAGAATGCCTTTGATTTTCAGCTTGAGTCACATACTGCAGATTTGCCAAGCAGTTGTTGCTAGGATTGCCGTCCAGGTGGTTCACCTGCCAGCAGCTTGGATCTGGTGGAGGCTCCAGAAAAGCGGCAGCCACAAGCCGGTGAACATAGTAGTTGTGGCCGCCAATGTTCACCCTGCGGTACCCGGCACAGTTCGTGCCAAAGTGAGGCACCCCGGTGGCAGGCGAGACCCGGCCATGCGAGCTCACCTGCCAGCCGGCGGATACCCGGCCGCAGCGACGAAGCTGGAAAAGCACGGCATGGACAGCCTGCTGCCTCGTGAACGAGGGTGTGCCCAACATGCCTGAAAGCCTTGAAGCCTTTAAAGCATCTAGAGTCAGCAGAGTCAACTCGTGTCAACCGATCGCCTTTCTCTCCACCGTGACAACGAACTTGAGAGGCAATCGAGAGCCCTCAACCCTGAGGCCCTGTGGGCGTCAACTCAACTGTGAGTCTCTTTAGCCGCCCCGTCCCGAAAGGTTGAAGACCCTCTCTACCCTCTCAATGTGAGATTCACACTGTGGAACCACTGTACCATGCCATACTATGCCCAAAACCCGAAACCCCTATCCCCAACCCTACATAAAGATCCGAAGCCTCACGCCCCTCCTAAACCTATATGTATGTATGTATGTATGTATGTATGTATATATATATATATATAACACTATATAACATAGCCCCAAACGTCCGAGCCTGATCTCAACTTTCCTGCGGTCGAACTTTCTCTACTTCTACAACCCTGTTCGAACTCTTGGCCTCAGGCCCCAGTAACTTACCGAAGCGACACAGACCTCTCGTTTTGTTGTGGAGGCTCCTTCAAGGCCACCACTAAGGTGTAGGCGGCGTAGGAGTCCAGGCCGCTCAGCGGCTCGTCGAGGAACCTTCGGCGTAGCTTCGCTTTTTGAGGGTCTTAGGGGTTTAGGGGTTTAGGGTTTAGGGGTTTAGAGAGTTAGGGTTTAGGGTTTAGGAGTTTAGGGTTTAGGGGTTTAGGGGTTTGTCTTAGGGTTGATACTCATAGCTTCTACGCATTTTGGGCTTAGGATTAGGTCGTGCAGCCTAGGAGCAACATCCTGGGGTTCGTAATCAGCTCAATGCCGACCTCAGCTGACAACTTCGGCAGGAGTCGCCCTCAAAGGATGGCAGCTACTAGCCATGTTCGTGGAAGCAAAAGTGATGACGCGGTACGAAGAAACATAGTCATAGCAGAAGTAAGCGGGAGTAGCCGCGGTGCTGGTAGTCGTGACAACAACGCCAGCAGTACCGCCAGAGTCTGCATACATACTGACTTCCCGCCGCTACATACATTTGTCCAGTCCAGAACAAACTACCCAACACAGGCCAACTTCAAACTAAAGCAATGGATAGCTTCTGGCCGACATTTCTGTCTCCTACTATCGTGACTCTACACAGTGCACAACCGCGGCAAAGGCACGGAGGTACGCTTTCTCTCACCTCCGGCATTGGCTGGGTGACGGTGAAGGCTAGCTTCTTGCAAGGGGTGAGGCTGCAGGGCCATGAGATCGCTGGCATACCGAAGATCAAAAGCCTTACGAAGGCAGAGCTCTGCACATACAGCGACTCTAAGGGACGATGAAGGAAGACAAGGAGCTACTAGGTATCATTTGCAGAGGCTGCTTTCTGAGAGTTTGTGTAGAAGTGGTTGCTTTTGGTACGATCAGGTAACCCAGTTGAAGTGAGAATCTGAATCGGCAGAACTGGGCCAATCCCACGCCGACCGCCATTCTTTTAGTGGGTAATCCTGCGAAGGTGCTTTTCCGGCCGGCATGCAGAAACTGCAGGGCTCAAGGATCCTTAAGAGACTCTGGTCGTCCTTCTTCGTGCTTGTGCTACTGTTATTTCATCTCAAGGACTTGTTGGACTTTCTCAGAGGGTGGTTTTGGGGCTTCGGGCTGTAAAGACTTCAAGGTCTTCACCCAAGATCCAAAAAGCACGTCGGAATTAAGTTGCTCCGGAGTCTTCAGGGCCAACCTCCCTCTTAGACCCCCCTGAGATCCTTGAGCCCCAATGCTGTACAGCTGCAAGCCCTGACTGACTAAAGAAGCCCAAACTTTGAAGCCGCGACCTCCCGAAATGCCCTTCACGAGCGCCGACCCAACGATCCTGAGCTGGATTGGGCTTATTGGGGTCTGTTGTTTCAGGGATACTGAGTGTAAGGTTGAGGGCCTGGGAATGTGGAAAGGCACAGGTGTCTGTAGTTGATTGTCTCAATTCCGCTGTTTCTTGCTTCTTCAGCGAGCGGTTCGTGTGCTGCAGCATGGCCTCATTCAAAGGTGTGGGTGAAGGTTTGGTCTTAGGTTCGATTGTCTTGAGCCCAAGCCCAAAGCAACAAGGGGGCAAAGCCAAGACAACACCATGAACCCCTCAAATCCCTAAAGCGCAACCACCAAGCCCTCAAACATTGATGCTTGAAACACTTGAGCCTGAATCCCGAAACCCCTTCCTTAATCCCTGGAAGCCTTTCAACTCTTAGTTCTTGAGATCTCAGGCCCTGGGACCCTTGAATCCTTTAGCCCAAAAGCCCTGAAGCCCTTCAAACCTCTCTGGAACCAAAATGCACGCCCTCGTCGTGAACCCTCTAACCCTTTAGGGCTTGTAATTGATGAGCTTCATTGCCTATAAACATCGCTAGTAGTAACCCTGCAAACGAAGCTTCGTGGTGGAGCAGCACTCCAGGTGAAGCGTGTTGAGCAAGCTCTGGACGAACTCCTGCCTCTGCCTTGGGGTGTAGGATCGTCTCACGTGTACCCATAGGCTCCATAGTGGTTCCTTTTGGGGATTCCCTTATAGGATCCTAAATAGAAACCACTAAAAGGAACTATAATGAAGCCTATGGGTAAGTCAGGCTTTAGGGTTTAGATCTTGTAAGATGTAAGGATCTTTTTGCAACCTTGGCGTTTAAGGTGCCGGATTTCTTTCGGCATTTCACAGAGACTGGGGCCGTAGCGGCTTTTCCAGCTGGAAGGGGTATTCACAAGGCTGGGGCCTTTGTTTCGAAGGTCTCGGGGTTGAGGCTTGTTGGGGATCAGAGCCTAGGTCTCTGTGCTGCGGGGCTGAACTCAGAGTTCGTTGGTTGAGCAAGGTTTTAGGGCTTTGGTGCTGCAAAAGTGGCTCTTCGGTCACACTTCGCGGCAGCCGGAGGCATGCCGAGAAATAGAGGCATTCCTTGGTGGATCACAGCACCGGCGGCTACCTGTTGTGGCTCCTAGTGTACATGCTTGTATATGTATATGCATATATTCTGAACGACCTGAATTGATTTGGTGTAAACACGCGGTGTCCTTGACTCTCGGGCCTCAAAGCCTTGCACCGGCTAACATGCCGTACGCTGTTTAGAGTCTAGCGTTGAGTGCTTTCGGACTTGAACAGTACGTTGCGGCTCCAGGGCTCAGTGGTTCATGTGTGCTTCTCCCTTCAAGGCGACGGCAGAAAGTTGAGAAAGCCGGGCCACCCTTGGTGTCTCGAAGGGGAGCAAAGAGTCGTCTTGCATGACGTAGGCGATGTTGGATCGGAAGCTGACGGGATCCACCTGGACATTCGGAAATTGTAAATTTCGGGGCGATTTGGGTTTTGGGATTCGGCCAGATTTTGCTAGAAAGTAGCTGTGGTTTGGGGCGCAAGCTTGAAATGGAGCTGGGACGGGTTTAAAAATGGGTGGATTTTTTTTGGGGGGCTTTCTTTTTTTTCTTTGGGTCTTTTTTTTTTTGGTGTTTTGGTGGTTTTTGCTAGGGAAAATACTATTTCCTGACGTTTGGAGGGATTTCCGGCCATTCTAAAGACTGCCGAAAACGTACGTTACGTAGGTTTTCGTACGTTACCTGGGTTTTCCCACTTTTCCTGACATTCTGGACG